GGAGCGTCATTCCTGCACTGTCAACAGGCCCATGTCCAAGCAGCGGCCCATTCCAGTTCATCGGCTTCCATTTGGAACCCTCGATTCTCCTTCAGATTGGCATGCCTCAGTGTTCGCACATGGCTTCAGATCGGTCAACAGGCAGCACTTGCCCGAACATTAGCGACCCTCTCGATTGATATCTGTCGCTTATCGGAGACCCGCCTGCAAGACTCGAGCTCTGTACTCACTCTGCGATCCCCTTCAAGTGACACTAGAAGCACTTCCTCATTGCGCCTATCCGGTGACGATGCAGCTACGAGCACCAGGCAAGTCGGTGTTGGTATTGCCCTGAGTCCCCGGGCTGAAGCTTCTCTGGTTGATTGGATTCCAATCAGTAGCCGGATGTGTGCGGTTCAATTGGCTGGCTCGTTCAAAGCTTCGAAGTCGCGTGGGACTAACAGGTGTCTACTCGTTATCCCTGCCTATGCACCGACAAACTGTAGCGATGGCTCGGTAAAAGCCGGCTTCTATCGTCAACTGAACGAGCTCCTTAGCCACAGAAGAAGGTCGGACACTAGTGCTGGCCGGGGATCTGAACGCTCAAGTTGGAAAATTATCCACAGATGAGCTGCATCTGGGCGGCCAACATGGTATAGTCTCCCGTAATGATAACGGTGAGCGGTTACTTCATTTGTGTGATGGTGCTCGCTTATTTCTTGCGAGCACTAATTTCTGACACAGCACCCGCCGGAGGGTGACTTGGCGCCCACCAGCCTCGAACCAGCTATGGACGCAAATCGATCACATTGCGATAAGTTACCGATGGAGAGGCTGCGTCCAGAACTGTCGCTCGATTTGGAGCACATGTGTTGACACCGACCATGCACTTGAATGTGCTAACCTGCGGATGCGCTTTGGCGGACGCCCATGACGACGTTGTGAGCGCAGACACCGGCCAACTGGCGAAGCTAGCTGTTCTGAGTGCCTATCAAAGTACGCTGTCATGCGAGTTGGATAAACGCTCACTGGATGCAATTGATGCTCACTGGTCTCATATTCACCAGACCTTATTAGCAGCAGGAAAATCCTCATGTGATATGTCTAGTCGCCAATATGGACATTGGGTCTCTTCACAGTCTCTGGAACTTATAGATGCTCGCCGACATATCCCGGCTGGAAGCGAACACAATGAAGCTCGCAAAGAGCTCCGGGCGAAACTCCGTGCTAGTATGAAGAGAGAACGTGAATCCTGGTGGTCTCATCGTGCAACAGAGATGGAAATGGCCGCTGCCCTTGGTAACCATCGTAAGTTATTCCGTCTGATTCGGGATACGGGCAGCAGGAGGTATGATGTTAGTGAAACCATGCGTAACGAGAGTGGACAGCCTATCCACAACTTATCAAAACGCTTAGAGCGTTGGGCTGAGCACTATACAAGGCAATTTAATCGGTCGGAATGGTTAGATTTCTCGCCGGCCACTGATCGCCCTGCTCAGTGGGCTGTCCCTTTGGATCCACCCTCTCGCTCAGAAGTCGAACGTGAGATCGAACTGTAGAAGTTAAATAAAACTGCGGGACCTGATGACCATCCTCCATCCCTCTTTAAATTCGGGAGACCTGTTCTTGTGGATGATTTATACGAGTTACTAGTGAAATTGTGGGAGCAGGAAACTGTCCCAACCGATTGGAGCCGCTCCGTCATAGCCCCAATTTTCAAAGGAGGCTCATGATCGGAATGCGGCAGCCATAGAGGAATCAGTCTGATCTCCATCGCCTCCAAATTGCTTACCTCTGTCATCCTTCACAGACTGACTGGCACTCGTGAAAGCCAGATTCGTGAAGAGCAAGCTGGATTTCGTCGAGGTCGTGGCTGCATTGACCACATCTTCACCTTGCGTCAGTTGTTGGAGCACCATCACATATATTGGCGGCCCACCGTTGTCGTGTTCCTCGATATCAAAGGTGCATTCGATTCGGTGGCTAGACGTGCACTTTGGGACTGTCTACTCAGGAAAGGTGTACCTGAGAAATATGTGAATATTATCCGGGTATTGTATGCGCGTAGCTCGGGCAGAGTGAGGGCTTACTGCAAGTTGTCGTCGCCCTTTAATATCTCCAGCGGCGTGAGACAAGGATGTCCGCTGTCACCTTTCCTCTTCAAGTTCGCTGTTGACGAAGTCATGGAAATCGCGTTTACAGGACACGACTTAGAAGGTGTGGAGCTACTCCCAGGAGAACGACTTCTTGACTTAGGGTATGCTGATGATATTGCCATAATCTGTGACAGCTCACAAACGTGCTAAGCGGCACTGGACCGATTAGCACTAGCTGTCCGTCACTTCGGGCTTTGCTTCGCACCCTCGAAGTGCAAAGCGTTTCTCCAAGATTGGTCCTTGTCGCCTCCTACGCTGACCGTTGGTGGGGATCAGCTAGAAGTCGTTCAAAAATTCAGCTACCTGGGAAGTTGTATCAGCGCCCGTGGGATTCAAGATGAGATCACGAATCGTATAGCAAAAGCTCGGGGTGCTTTTGCTTACCTTCGCCACTTATGGCGCCGGCGCGACATCACTCTTGCCCTACAGGGTAGAGTATACAATGCAGCAGTACGTTCGACCCTACTGTACGGTTGTGAAACCTGGCTGCTTAAAGCAGCGGATCTGAAGAGGCTACTTACGTTCGACCACCGGTGCCTTCGTGAAAATGAAATGAAAATGAAATGTGTCAGCTTATACGCCGTAACGGCGCTTCACTGCCGCGCGACCACCACCAGTCGCGCGCGGGCTGAGTATACCGCGAGGACGCCCACCCCTACGCGGATTCGAACCGGTGACCTTATGGTTGGAAAGCAAACGTGCCGACCACTCGGCCACCGGCCTTCGTAATTTAGCTCACATCTGGTGGGAACACCGCGTGAGCAACGAGCGTGTTCGACACCTTGTTTATGGCACAGGAAAAGGAAATGAATCGCTCAGCACCGTTATTTCACACATCAAGCTCCGATGGCTCAGCCACGTGTTACGCATGCCAGCCCACCGACTGCCGCGACGTGTGCTGTTTACGTGCCGGGGGTGTGGATAGAAGAAGAGGAGGGGTGGTTAAGCGATGACTTGGTCGAGAGGAATGAAGGACCTCACTTTTGAGATGGCCTCGGTTGGAGCGTCTCGGCTCCCTGGTTGGGGTCCGAAAGACGATGAACACGTTTGGTTGGACACACTTGCTGATATGGCTAGGAGCCGACCTCAGTGGCGTTCGTGCTGTGAGTTTCTTTGTCCCACTCCTTGCCTCTTAGCTTCCCCCTCCAACCACGATCTCATTATTTAGCCTTATATAATTTTGCATAGTAATTTTTTCTTGATGCACAGCAGCCGGCTGGTGTCTTACCGGCACGATACCCATCCGTTATCGGTAGCTCAGCCAGCTTGCACCAGTTGCATTTTTTTTCCTTTTTTCTATGTACTTTGGCACAGTAGCTGAGGTGTTTTCCACCTCTAGCCAACGTGCATGGTGATGATTATGATGACACCGACTCCCCGACATGCGCCATGGATGCGGTCAGAAGAGGAGGGAGGCCAAACGATGACTTGGTCAATGCGAAATGAAAACGGACACTTCGAGGTTGGAGTCGGTTAGTGCATCCTAACAGGCTGGCTAGGGTTCCAAGGATGATGCACACATTTTTTAGACACAGTTGCTGATATGGCGAATAGCCGACCTCAATGGCGTTTGTTTTATGAGTTTCTTTGTCCATCCTCCTCCCTATTAGATTACACCTCGAATTCCGATCTCATACTAATTGCATACTTTAATATGTTACATTGAATTACCATCTTTTGAGTTTTTTCTATTGTAGCTTTTTATATTTTATTATTTTAATCGCGTTACGTTAGCTGAGGTGTTTATCCCCATCATCTAACGTGTACTGATGATGATAATGAGGAGACCAAGCGGCGGATTTTGTTGGGTCTGCTGACAGCGAGAGCGAAAGCTGTTGTGTCGCCCATCTATGGTTCGTCCTTAGGCATGATACCACGCGGTTGTCCACACCGAAGTAGTGGGTTGTCTTAGGAGGCCCCACCCCGAGTGTTTGACCAAGGATCTAACCTGAAAGCGAACAAGGCGATATGAGGGTGTTACAATACCTTAGGAGCCGGTGAATGAACAATTGACTCGCCTTTAAGTCCCCGGACGACCAAAGGCCCATCAAACTTTTGAAGTACAGTGTCACCCAGGAAGAGGCAAGGGTCAACGACTTAATGTAGTGGCGAATCACATCCACTACTCCATAGAGTTGTTCAACTGACATATGTGGTTTTTTTGTAGAGAATGCTTACCAAGCGAAAATCCAATACGTCCTTGAACACTGCCTCCGAACCATTCAGCAGAACTGGATATTCCCGAACCACCCAACTAGCACCACCAGAGGGTTGTTCGGCAAGACAGCCTGTCGCTGAATAGGTTCACCTAATAAAATTAACTGCTTCAATTCGGTGTCGGTACTGTGGCAGAACGCTATGTGCACCACCGAGAAATACTCATGCACATTTTCGACAGCGGATCAGGCAGGGAACAGAGCATACAAATTACGCTACAGCTAGCAGGCAAGATGGAATCGCACAGAGTCGAGCTTGGGTAATTGTTCATCCCAGCAGTTCATTAAAACAACATGTACATGGACTACATTGAGACAAAAAATAGAGCAAATTCTTTGCAATCGCTACAAACGAATGTACATAGCTGTAGTCAGAGGAACTGGTGGTAACAATTTGCAATAACAGATATTAAGCTATTATAATGGTATCTTGCCACTTTTTATCAGTTAAAACTACTGACCGTTCAATACCAATCAGACGTTCGAGCTGCTGAGTTTCCGATGGTGCTGTTAAAGTTCCTTAGGAACTGTTGACAACTTCATCCAGCTCCTCATGGAGCGTTAGCCAGGTGTTTCCCATCTCCTCCGTCACTTTCGTATTTTTCCGATAGTTTCATCTGACTGTATACGTTGTTTGTTTTGTGTTTCAGCCCCCAGGTCTTCTACAACCGACGTACACGGTTGCTTTCGGAATCCTCGATCGAGCACATACAACGTTCATTCTGCTCATGTCGTCTCCGCCTGTTGGACTGCTAGATAATCCTGTGACAATCGATTCAGATGACTGCTTGACCTGGCAAGAAAGTCCTCGTTTGCCTCCTCCATCCAGTGATTTTTCTGTTACCGGTATTAATCATACGGGATCAGTTCTATACATGCCTGTAACTTCACACCGGAGGCGGAAAAAGGCAGTCCGATTTTCTGTAGTTGTGGTGTATTCTTTCGCACGCGAGCAGGGGTTCTGCACTATTCCGGATACTGGTTGGTGCTCTTTGGGTATGGCCTGGCAGCATTTTGGCGTTTCTAGGTACGACATTCATCATCATCAACTTCTTGCTCGTCTGAGGCGCAAACACCACCATTCATCGCTTAGGGGAAAACGTTATTGGGGATTGAAGAGAAAAGAATCTGTGGCACGACACTGTACTTTTAATATGGCTAGCAAAAGCGCTTCATTTGATGGTTCACTCCATTGTAGTCCAAATGTCTCACATAAGACCTTGGGTATTGCATCCCCACCGCCCTTGTCTCCTCATACTGACGGCGACCAGGCTGCAATTGCCACTTTCGGATGCGACGAAAACGGTATTTATTCGCGATTCACTCCACCTCCGCCCTGCCTGTCTCCACCGTCACCTCGTCGAGTTCTCGCACACCTCAACGAATCCTTCGGCAATGTCAGTTTCACCCTCTCAGACGCGCTAGAAACGGACTCCGAAGCATCAGTGGATCAGATATCGACCTCACTGAAACCTGCTCAACACAAAAAGAGGAAGTTATCACCTATTCACGCGTCTGTTCGTTTACGTCTTCTGAGGGAATCAGGTTCGTTCCGTTTGTTAATTTCTTTTCACACGTGCTTATCATTTTGTCACTGTAATCGCTTGTCCGTTTCTACAGCATGCTTGATTGGAGCAAGGCTGAACCATCTATGTTGTCTTGTCACTGATCTGCTTCATGTAGGTAGCCAACCTGTCAGCTCTGGTATTCGTGGTGAGTATCAACACGTAGTTTGTTTGTCATTCATTCATTTTACACGTTATCTGCAGGTAGAAAACACCTCAGCTATTATGCCGCAATACAAAAGAAAAAGCGGCACGCCGACTGAGTCATTAGTAACGGATGGACATAGTTCCGGAGAGCTGACAGCCGGATATTATGCCACAACGTAGTCATATTGCGCCTAATACTTCAGATCGTAGTTCGAGGGGAAACCTAAACGGGAGCGGGGGGACAAAGAAACTCACAACGTAAATGCCACTGGGGCCGGCTCTTCGCCATATCAGCAACTGTGTCTAAAGAAACGTGTGCATCGTCCTTAGGACCCCAGCCATGCTGTCAGAATGCACCAACCGACTCCAACCTTGAAGTGTGCGTTTTCATTTCTCTCGACCAAGTTTGGCCTCCCTCCTCTTCTGATCGCATCCGTGGCGCATGTCGGGGAGTCGGTGTGCTGTCATGCGTGATATAATGTGTGTCCGTTTTCATTTCGCATCGACCAAGTCATGGTTAGGTCTCTTCTTCTGATCGCATCCACGGCGCGCAAGCATGTCGCGGGAGTCGGTGTGCTGCAATGTGCAACACGTGGCCCAGCCCAGGCGGCCTTGTGCGTGATATAATGGTGCTGAGCGGTTCACTAGCTCTTCCTGTACCAAATACGCGGCGCCGAACACGCTCATTGCACACGTGGTGCTCTCACCAGACATGAGCTAAGCTGAGTAGGTAGCGATGGTCGAACGTGACTAGCCTCTTTATGACTGACGACTTGATGGGCCGCATTTCACAACCGTATAAGAGGGTTGAACGGACGGCCGCATTATAAACTCTTCCCTTCAAAGCGAGAGTGATGTCGCGTCTGTACCACAGGTGGTGGAGATTGGCAAAAGCACCTAGAGCTGATCAGCACCAAGGGTTAGTGCAGGAGTGGGTTCCTGCCAATCTTGGAGAAGTACTATGAATTTCGAGAGAGCAAAGCATAGCCCAAAACGATTGACAGCCAGTGCTAATCGGTCCATTGCTGCTTGGCACGTTTGGGAGCTGTCATAGGTTAGGCCATATCGTCTGCATACTCCAAAGTCAAGACGTCGCTCACCAGGAATTAGCTCCACACCCTATAGGTCGTGTCTAGCGAACGCTGTTTCCATGACTTCGTCACTAGCAAATTTAACTAGCAAAAGTGACAGTGGGCAACCCTGTCTCACATCGTTGGAGATATTGTAGGGCGGCGACAGTTTGCCATGAACCCTCACTCTGCCCGAACTATGTGCCTACGGGGCTTTGATAATGGTAACGTTTCAAATTTTTCAGAAAGCTGGTAGCACTGGTTGATCATTTAGTTGCTCATTTGTTCGCCGAGCATGGAAATTTGTTTGCAATCGTTTCACCACCGTGCGTGGCGACATCATCAG